ATATATATGTAGTATGTATATGCGTGGTGTGTGTAGGTGATGTATGTATAGATATATATAAATATATGTATATATATATATAGTATATATAATCATATATATAATATATATATATATTATATATATATCTATGTACACATAACATACATGTATAATATAGAATAGATATATATATATTAGATATATATATCTATATATATATATATATAATACATATATACATACATACATTTAAATATATATATACATATAGATATAATATAATATATATCATATATATTATTAATATATATAGATATATATATATCTATATAACTTATATAGTACACATATATATGTATATATTTATATATATATATATATAACATATATATAATTTTTTTTATATTATATATTATTATATATTATATATATAATATATACATATATAATATATATATATAAGAATATATATATAGATATATACTAGATATATACTATATATATAGATATATATGTATGTATATAACACACACACACACACACATAGATATGTATATACATATATATATGGTGTATATATATTATATATATATATATATGTATATATATATATAATCTATAATATATATATATATATATATATATATATATATAGAATATATATAATATATATACTTATATATATGTACACCACACATATATAGGGATATATGCATATACATATATATATAGCGATAATATATATATATATATATATATGATAATATATATATATCTATCTATCATATATATATAGATATATATACACAAAAAATATGTGTGTGTGTGTGTGTGTATGTGCGTGTGTGTGTGTATGTGTGTATGTGTATGTACTATGTGTATACACCACACATACCCACACAGCTCAAATAAGACCAATATATAATGTAAGCCTGTGAGCTTGTGAACAGTGGATTCAATGTAATGCACCTGGCCTCTTAGTTTTGGACAACGGGGGAGGGGGGGATTTAAACAACAAAATTGAATAATGAGCTGGATATCACAAATTGCCTGTGATCAATATGCCATATAAAGAAATGTACTTGTTTTCACCACTACCATATTAAGCAAACATTTTGTGGTTTCATAAACTAATAATGGATTATAGAGCTGAAATGTGAAGGACGAAGGTGAAAGAAATATGTATTTTTTTATATTATTATTGACAGGACCATAACGAAGAATATAGGTTCCTTTAAAAGTGTTCAAGGAGCAAAATCCAAATGATAAAAAAAATATGAAAATACCAACAAGGAAATGAAATTCGAAACGGATCCGGTACCTTTCAACGTCTGCGATGCAATATTTTCCGTTAGCCGAGGTCCGTTTATTGCAGGAGAAGCAAGCACCCATACTGAAAAAAGATAAAAAGGAATAAAGCAGTGATTGTCAATGCCACACGCAGCACATGACACGCCCTACACACCCACCACCACACACACACAGTGTTGTAATTTTGAAATCTGAAGGCTAATAAGCGCCCTTTTCTTAGAAATTCCAACGCTTAGATACCAAATATAGTAAACTGCTATTCATATACAGACATCTGCGTTGGACCACCCGGATGCAGCTCAAAAAGGGCTTGGTCTACAGCTGATTCAACAATGCAATCTGATGGAGGAACATGATGGACTATTTAGTAGAAAAGTAATGACCGCGTTTGGTTAATCCAGGAATAAAAGACCCAGCATCATAAAGCAGATGGTAAATCTAAGTTCATATGATCACTGCAATTTTCCTATTGTCATATTATCGTAATTGCGCGTTCGTTTTCCAGAGGCAAATGACAAAAAAAGCAAAACAAACATCAGCAGCTGTGTAGCATTCATGAAGCTGATCTCAGTGTGCTGTCTTCGCTGTAGGATGATATCCTCGATGCATTTCGGGCATTCGTATCTCATCGCCGATATTCTGCAGGTGTTATTCGTTATGTGAAATCAGCCTATGAATAGATATGAAAAATCAGCATGAAGTAAAGAATGCCATTTAAAACTTTCTCTCTGTATCTACGAGGTCAACAAGTCGTATCGGTTTCAATCCAGATGATGATATCAATGAAGGGAAAATTTTGAGTATTTTTCCGTACCAATGCATGGAGGAGGGCCACGTGGGGGGCGACGACCGCCAGGGCCGCCATGAGGGACGGCACCGCAGCACCGCCAGGAGGGGACGAGACCACCAGGACTTGTGCGGCCGCGATGGCCCCCGTCACCCGCCACCACAGCAAGAAGCAGCAGCCTTCAATTGAAGACTTATTCTGGAAGAAGATAAAAAATGCTCATTTACAACATGTGGGCAAATTCACTGGACATATCGAACAAAGAATGGCAATATATTCCGGTAGGATGTACTTGCTTAATCCGCCATCAGTAATGACCGGAGATTTCATGGTTGAAAAGGAAAGAAAAGTAAAACAGTCCTTAGCTGAGACTTTTGTCACAGCGAAAAGATCCGTGGTCCTGAAAGCCTGGTACTGTAA